GAAGATGCATATTCTCTGTCATATGGGCCTGCATGAATAAACTTTCTGAATCCTTTATCATCCGGGCATTGTGATTCCTTTAAGTGAGGTTCACAATTTGCCCTGCAGCCTCGGTTTGGTTTACTAGGGGATAGATGCATGTCATTTTCGGGAACAGCGGGGTGGGCGGGTGATAGGCGCTGGGGTATTGTTTTGTTTTGTGGCTCAGATGCGTGTATTCTATTTGTATTCTATTGCACTTACTTAACTAATATAATTATATATATAACTATGACACATTACCAGATGATCTTACTGAACTATGTGCTTTCTGGAAAAGCTGATCGGCGCCAGTTTGTATGCAAACTGTGGATTGACAGTTAGCATACAGATAAAGAAAACAAAACATTTTTTAAAAAGTCAGAAATTAGGAGCAACACAGTGCAGTCTGTTTGATAGTCCACAGCGTGAGGCACAACACAAACTAAAAGCTCGCTCACCTTATTAGACAAAAAGAAAAAAAAAGAAAAAAGAAGACATGCAATCACAGCTGATACGTAAGTTACTCCTCTGTAGCACTATATTTATAACGCTGGCGAGCCACCTCTGCTTGTTCTGGATCACTGAAAACCTCCGGAACATCCTCATCTTTCCAGTGCACACACAGCTTCGTTGGGTACCATAGCTGGAATTTAATTGCATCTTCTCTCAGGGCTTGCATCACATTCCGGAAGGAACGGTGCTAGCTCATTACTTCGCTGGTGTAGTCTGGGAAGATCAGAACTTTATTCCCCTTGTACTCCATCGGTTGCATCCTGGCGAGGCATAGAATAAGCTCTTTCGTCTGAAAGTGATGTATTCGGGCGATGATGGTATGCGGTTTCTCTCCCGCTGCCAGCCTAGGCCATAGAGATCGATGAGCGTGGTCAACCTTAAGTGGATGTGGGAAGTGTTGCTTACCCAATAATTCGGGGATGAGGTTGGAAATAAACTCCTTCGGGCTTCCTATCTTCTGAGCGCTGTTTTATGCCAACAATTTTTATATTAAGTCTCTGAGTACAGGCCTCCAAGTCCAATAGTTTGGGTTGAATCTGATTTACAAGCTTTGCCAGGTCCTCGCGTTTGGCTTCAAGCGTTCCCATTCACTATTCCCGGGGGCGTTGACCGCTAATTTCCTGACCTTCCATGCGGTTCTGTAAGTCAGTCTGTACGGATAGCACCAACTGGAACTTGGCCTCAAAAGCATCAAACTGCTCATCAAGTTTTTCCAGGATTGATTCAGATATTGTCTTATACATTTCACTCTTGTCATCCGGAGTGACAACTTTAGGCTCAGCCAAAGCCCTGCTGGTGCAACTATCATTAGCATCAAGCTCGATGCTCGACCATTTGTCGATGGTCTTATTCTTGCCTAGGTTCGAGGCTTTCTTTGGCGGTGACATTTCAGATATGCTGGGCAACGATTAAGCCAAAGGTACAAGTCGATTATTTCAGCTCCTGAATGGTTTTATCGTGGCATCTTGCGTTTTGTGGAAACTGGGGTGTTTCTGAGTGTCTTTGATGGTGAAGGAAACTGGACTCACTGACACCTTGACTTTCTTTGCAGTTTCTCTGTAGGACAGACCTACATTTATAAGTGTTATGATGGTCTGTCTCTCTTCCATCGTTAATTGCATTTTTCTCACCATTTCTGTACAACACACTACTTTCTGCAGTACAGTACTGTTCAAGTGATGCTCACGAGGGTACATCAGTGTGCTCCAACACTACTTATATGCAGACAGAGGGAGCTGGAAGTAATCCAGAGAAGTTGGAACACCTGTAGGAATTAGTAGCACCAGCTTTCAAGGCTGAATCAACCTCCATTGTTGCAGAACAGATTTAAATTGTTAAAACCATGTTGTGTTCCCTGAAAAAGGCCATTTTTGAAATCTACATTATTTTTTAGTGTTGGGTAACCTTACCTTTTTTAAACCTCTGGCAGTTCAACACTTACCTTTGTACCATTTCAAGCTATTCATTGGATTTGAACGACTTGAATTGCAATAAATAACTGGAAGAATTAGAGTGTTCTAAGTCTTCTGATCAGTAGTGAATATTTTCAACTTTCCTGTTCTGTAACTGGTTAATTAATAGAAAAATTCCACAACAGTCTGAATTTTCTTTAGCAATTCAAACTAATACAATCAGTTTGTGTAAAAAGTGAGAAAAAGTAACTGCTGTTATAACCAATACAGCCATAAATTGAAACTATCATTTTGGGATTCATCTATTTGAAGTTTTTATTTCATGCAGAAACATTGATGGATCAGAAAGGCAGTCCTACAGGTATACAGGTTATACATATATTTCAGTGATTCTGGTAATGAGATGGCTGAAACGATGAAATGAATGATTGTATAACACGCAGCAATTATATTAATATATTGAATAAAACTGTAAAAGTAAAGTTTTTTGTCATGGGTAGTTATCATGTGCAAAGAAATATTCTAGGCATTGTCTACCTGATTTCATTGGGCGTCTCCTCTTCTTCGTTTTTTTCCATGTCCTTTTTGCAGAATACCAACCAGATGATGAGTAAGATAAGCAGAATGGCGAAGGACACACCAACCACCACACCTGCTACCACACCAATTCCCTTCACATCTACCAAAAATAACAAAAAACATTGATGTAAGACACACTATTATGTTATTGCTACAACCACCAATGCATCAAATTCACCATTGCTATTTTTCAGTTGCATGCAAGTTTTAATAAAATACTTGTCTCCCCCTCTTTATCATGTTCAGAAACCTATATAACACACCCCAGTATTATAAAAGCTAAAGCCAGATAAAAAAAAACAACCTAATTCATCCCTTCAGCTTTATATATTATAGCTATACTATAAAATAATTGAACCTTGAAAATCAATACATTTTAAAATTGTTTTAAATAATGCTATTCCAGAAGTTCCAAGTTGTCGACTATAGTATTGTGCGAAAGTCTTGAGTCATCACTTTTTATTGTTCTTGAAAAGTTGGAACTATGTTCAGTGATTTACTGAAGTATGTGCAAATATAAATGCAAATACTTATTCTAAGGGGTGGTTGTGGCTCAGGAGGAAGAGTGCATTGTCTACCAATTGGAAAGTTTGTAGTTTGTTAAAGGCCTGCCACCTCTTTTGTCTTCCACTTGTCCAGTTTCCCTCAAATTATTTTAAAGACACACGGCACACCATATTGAGCTGTAACAGATTTTTGGCTGTCTTTTTAAATCACCTTGTTGTTGATTCAAGGTGTGTTTTGCACCAGGCTGCTAGTAACAAGGTGTCTAAAGATTCCATTTAAAATGGTTCTTTGATAAATTGTTTGGCTGGCACTGGTTCTGTCATGGTC